ATTTTTCTACAGAAAATTATTATTTTAATTACCTAAAACTAATCCGGTGGACTTGATTTCTTTAACATAATTAGAAGGAAACCAACCGGTTGTACCATTTAATGTTCCTTCCCACCATCCACCTTCTTCTTTTTGTGTTACCAATATAATGTCTCCTTTTTTAAAACATAACTTAACAATGCAAAAAGAAAAAGAAAAATTAAATCAATGGAAATTATTAACACAAAAAAAAATTAAATTTTCAATTATTATTATTATTATTACCTCGTCATTATTTTTTCCCTTAAACGAATAGACAGCTTGAACTGTTAATGTACTTTGTGAAGAAGATGAGGCCATTTATGTCCAACGTTATAACATTCTGCACAGAGTAAAATCGTTTGAAACAATTTAAAATTGTATTTTTTTTTTTTTTGATTATTTTGTTTTCTGCAAAAAATAATGTTTGCATTTATTTAAAATTAAATCATTCAACATAATAAATTTCATAAACTTTTTATTTAAATTCCTGTTTTTGTAATTATACGAAAAAGTAATTGAAAAATATTTCAAATCTGTAAAAATAATCATTTTTAAAAAATTTAACGGATTTGTGTCTGCACTTTGCTTACCTTTATTTATAATAATTTAATTACGCTTAAACGACAGTTAAATTGAATATTTTTTGTAACTTAAAATATATTAAATTAAAAAGCGAAAATATTTTAATAAGTTTTTAATAGGACTTTTTTTTTTTCGGAGCGCCACTTAAAAAAAATTAGGTTGGCACTACTGAATCCAAAAATTATTTTTGAACTAAATTTATTTTGTGACTTCCTGTCATAGAAACCAAAATTTAAGAAAAATCTTGGCAAGTTTAATTTTAGGATGATTGCCAATTTTAATGAATGGTTAACGGAAAAATATTCAAAATTTTATTTTAAATTAAATAAAAAAATTTAACTTGTGATAAAAATTTTGACATTTTACAAAAATAAAAAAAAAAAAAACTTTTACAAATAAGAAAAATTTTAACTCGGAAAATAGGAGTTAAAAAAAACTGACCTAAAAGTTGACCAAAAAGTTGAAAAAATAATAAAATAATTTCAATTGCAAACAGTTTATTTATGAAAACAAAACAATTTAAAGTTAATAAACTTTGTATTTTAAAATTTTTTTTGAATATTTTCAATATTTATAACAATGTAATAATATAATATTATAATACATATATATAGTACAATATTTTATGATTTGATGATACTGTCCAAGTTATTATTGAATTTTAGATAGTTTAATATTTATTCTTAAATGACTAAATTACACAATTGTTCAAAAAAATTATATAGCAAATTCAATATTTTAAGGTAACATTAAAAATTTGAATCTCGATAATTATTTATGATTGCATTAATGATAGAAATTTACTTAAACGATTAATTATAGAAATATATTAATATCAAAACTATATATCTAAAATTTGTTTTAAAATCTATGTAAAAGCATGCTTTAAAATATTAATAGTATTAATATTGTCTAGTAATTCATTCATAAAATGTCACAGGTAAAATTAGTTTAAAACATGTTGACACTTTTAGTGTGTTTAAACATATTGTATTTTTTAATTTTAATGATCTGAAAATTCATCATCATCACCACCCATGGCTTTCCAAAAAGCTTTTACAACCTCTTCTGCAGCTTTTTTCTTTTCAGCACCAGAATACGAAGAAACTCTTTCTTTTAAATCTGACAGTTGAGAAAATAACATAGAAAAGTCATTATCATTTTCTAAAATTTCCTCTAATGACCTTACTAATTCTAACTTTTCTCTGCCTAAATTATTATCTTGATGAAAAGAGTTCATAACTAAATTTGGCCATACATGAGCATTTAATGCTTGAATTATTCTCGGAATTCCTGTAATTTCAGGAAAATCATCTTCCAGTTCACTTTCTTCATCATCTATTATTGGTTCTAATTCGATCAGTTCAAAATTTTTATTAACACACCATTCCAAAGCATCTTTCTTGGTGCATGTTTCATTTGGAAAATTATTTGTAACCAATAATTTAATTTCCGGATCGTATTCTTCAATAAATGGCAAAAAAGTTTGAACTTTATCTAATGCATTACTTTGAGAACTATCAAAATGTAATACAACAGCTTGTACTCTTTCAGCAAATTGTTTGCTCATTAATTTCTTTTCAGGGAAAGAGCATAAATATACTTCCGCAGAGTAATATTTATTGTCGATAAGCCAAGAAAAAGCATATATATTTTCTTCGATGATGATTTTTTGAGGAAGTTCATCAACTTTCAAAACCGACTTTATTAATTCATCGGGATGAGTGTTTGAACAACTCATAAACAAAACCAGTGGTGTATCTGCCATGTTTGGTTTCGTTAAGTTAATATTTTGTAAATAATTAATATTAGTAAAGCGATTGATAAATTTTAATATATATTATGCCATATATATATATTATTAAATGAATTAAAACTCGTTCTTACTTATATTAAAAAAAAACCGTAAAAACACTCCGATAAATCAAATCAATAAGTAATCCGGTTTTCAGACATTTTTTTAACTAGACTTGACGTCCATTTTGTTTACGACAAGCCAAAGGAGAAAAAAATAAAAACAATTTTTTTGTGCAAAAATGTCCGGAGCTGTGGAGAGAATTCAAGTTTTGGATGCAATAGAAAAAGATATAATTACTTGCCTTCAAAGTGCAGGTTAGAATCCTTTTTCGTTGTGTTTATGACTCAAGTTACTATCACAAAACAAAGATTCGTGCCTCGGCCCATTGAACAAAGTTAATGACTCAATTTAATTTGATGCTGTTGGCGAAACTGAGGTTAAAAACATAAAATATTTTAATTTTTTGTTTTCTATGTAAAAATCCCTCATTAAAAAATATTATTTATATATTATGAAGTTTTATGCGTAACTATTGAATAAAATACATTTTTTTTCAATTCGGTATAATAAGTTTTAATTTTATTTTTTTGGATTTGTTTCAGGTCAAGCTTTGATAGAATTAAGCAAAGATAAATCTAGTTTAAAATTATCAGAAGGTCAAACCCATCAATTTTTAAAGACTCTTAATTTGGTAGAATCAAAATTGACCGAGCAAATTAATTATTTAACCCAGGTATCTACTGGGCAACCACATGAAGGTTCAGGTTATGCTTCACAAAAAGTACTTCAAATGGCCTGGCATAGATTAGAACATGCTAGGAGTCGCGTTAATGAATTAGAAAGAATTAAAAACAAACATTTGCAAAATATGGGGGTTGGTAGGCCTAGTGCAGCAGGTCCAGGTCAACCTTCTGTCAGCTCGTCATAAATTTAGCTAATTAATTACCTAAATAAATTTTTTTATACCTTTTGTATTTATTACTTATTAATTGAATGTTAACCGTTTAAGCTTAGATTAAATAATTATCTAATTATTTTGTATAAAAATAATTTTTAATAATTATAATATCAAAATAAACAATGAAATTTTTCATAATGCATTTCTGTTTATCATTCGCCACAAATTGAGTTGTGAAAGTATGAGTTCGAATAAAATTTTTGTAAACGAATATGTAAAAATTGGTAATTTAATTTATAAAAATGAAAACACAGTTTAGAGTCTCTTTGAACAATTAATAAAAGAAAATTATGAAATAGAACTAATTGTAGGGAATGGCATTAGTTTTGAAACAACTAATGTGTCATGCTGATAAGAAATGTATCCCTTTACTTTTCCTTCAAGAATCAAATTTGCTAATAAACACTCTGCTTCATCCCATGTAGCATCTTCAATTTTCATGGCTAAAAGTGCTTTTAGAAACATTTCAACTGGGATTTGATGAGAATTAACAATGTGATAACTGAAAAGCAAAAAAAAGTATAAATTTTCCTACCTAAAATTATTGTCGTATTAAATATCTTTATTTCCATTTTTTGAATTAAAATATTTCAAGTATATATGAAAAGGGTCTTTAAAAAAACTTACACTTTTTTAAATAAATTTCTGGTTGCTATTGTACTAAGTCTTTGCATTATTACATAAATATTATGTTGTATGAAAAATGAATGGTAGCGATCCATCACTTCATTAAATTTTTGTAAATTTCCCATTTTTACAGCTTCTACAACTTCCCAAAATTCAATTAAATTATATTTTTCCAGCAATGATTTTTTAGGCATGTATCCCTAGGTAAATAAAAAATTATTAAAAGTTGAAATTCAAATTTTAAAGAAATTTTATTAAAAAAACATGTTGCATATGCACTCACTAAAATCATTTTTACTGGCACTAAGTACAATAATATACTCCTTTTGTTTTTTGTAGAATTTTTATGGCATTTTAAAAAAGCAAATGACAAACATTCATTGGCAGTCCTAAAGTCACCATCAAACATTGCTTTTAAACCGGCAAAAAATTTATAAGTGATTATTTGAGCCAAAGCAAATTTATCTTTCAAATTACAAGAATCAATAGCTCTCATTAATGGCTTGCAAAGTTGATGTCTATTAATTTTAAAATAAACTTTAAACATTTGATTCACCAATGTTAACATTCCCCACTTTTTCGTATCTATTTCTGATGAACGACTGTAAAAATCGAATAAAATTTTAATAATTTTTTACATGAGGCAGAGAAATCATTAGTTAGTATACTTACTTGTCTGCTGCACAAATTCTAAAACATGCCATTAGTGATTTTGCTGTTTTTTCTAAACATTCTATAGGGTGCTTTTTATTATCTGCTTCTTTGTCTGCAGGAGATGCTAACAGTCTGAGTTCTAAGCATACTGTTTGCATTACCTTAAGCATCCAATTTTCCTCTCTTTGCGTTTGAAAAATTTTAACAAATGTTTGAGTCAATTCAAATTGATTTTCAAACGCGTCTAAAAAATTTTTATTTTCAAGAGAAGACAAACATTTTAAATGAAGAATCACTAACTCATCATAAGGGGAATCGAGAATGCGAGAAACGGTTGTTTCCATATTAGGCGGCCTTAATTTTTTACTAGATGCATGTGAATGCCGAAATGATAATAATGCGGCCAACAATTCACCCTGTTTATAAGTACATCCATCATCAACCTACAATAAAAATAGGAGATGAAACGTTTTGTGGAGTTTTCAAATTAAGCATAAACATAGGTGATGGTCTTTGATTTTTAAAAAATAATGTAAGACAAAATAAAAAATCATTCTTTTACATCTAAATTTTAAGTAGGCAATAAGAAAAAAGTATTTTAATAATAACATTACCAATTGTAAGTATTGTGTGAGGCCAATATCATTCATTTTCATAAAAATTTCATTTAAAAAAATTTTTGGTTAATATAAACACAAAGTTCTTAAATTATCCACCGTGAGCGCCACACGTCCTTTATAACCGCCATAACGTTAACAAAAAAAAATAAAAAATAAAAAGGTATTATTTAAAATTAAAATTATGCTCAATTTATTTAATTTAATTTTGTAATTAAATTTTATTATGTTTTAGAATATAAATTATCATTACAAATTATTAACATCGATTAATGTCTTCTGTAATAAAAATTATTTTATTACACACATTAGGAAAGTCATTCAAAATCTTACATTCAAACTGTCAAGACTCAACTCATTTCTTTGTTTCATTGGATTTTTTTTTTTAGTGTAAATTTTGTTTTTTATTTAATTTAAGTGAATTTTTATTTTATTTTATCAAATTAAAATGTTTTTACAGATCAGTTATGCTTTAGTTAAACAGGTAAATTTTTATTAAATTAAAAAATTTGTTTCAATCATTGTCAGATATTTTTTTCTAATGTAGAAGTTTTTCAATATAAAAAAATAAATGCTTTAAATTTATGTTATTAATAAAAATGTTACCCTTGGATGTGGATGTAAAAAAAAAAAAGTGAAGCTCACTAATTATTAATAAGGATTATAAGAATAAGAGTGATTAAAAAAACAAACCCTATTCAATTTTTAAAAATTATAGTTTGAAAATGTGGAAAATATGATTGAAATAGGTAAAATTTAAAAAAAAAAAAAACTCTTCGAAAACACTCTTTGTTATTCGAACTGTAATATAATTTAATTTTATAAACTTTACAATAAGTTATTATAAATACTGTTGCCTTTTTTTACATTATTTTATTAATAACATTTTAGATTCTGTATTAAATAAGAACTGAATTACAATTATATAATGAATCACAAATTTTAATTTTTCCGATTTTATAAAAGAAAACGAAAAAAAAATTTAAACCGAAAAAAAACTTTGTTAAAAAAAAAATTATTCGAAAAGTTTAAATGAAATAAAAATAATAACTAACTATAATAAATAAGTTTTATTAAAATAAGTTTACTTGTTAATTATTATTTGTAATTTAAAATTTTATAAATTTTTTTAATTTACTTAATTTTAAATTTATTTTTATAAATTTTTTCCCATGTCATTTCCTACTGAAGAAAAAAACAATTGAAAATATTGTAATTTATTTATATATGTGTGTAAGAAAAAAAAAATTTTTAATTCAATTTTTTTTTGGAATTTTAAGTGCCTGAATAATAAAAAATTATTAAAATAAAGGATCCCATATCAGGTTTTAAATAAATTAACAGCAGTGAACGTGATAAACCAGTTTTTTGCCTATAAACAATAAAATTTTTTATATATATATAATATCAAAAACATTAATAATCATGAATATATTTTTTTAAAAATATTATTACAGGCGCCAGGTATAAAATGAACGACTATAATGTTTACCAAAACGAAACATTTATTAAGTAAAATAGAGCGCAAGTTAATAATACATAAATTTTTTTATTTTATTTATTTTTTTAAATTTTACAAAACGGTTAAAACCAAAACATTTTAATAACTAAAAACAGTTTTTTTAGTTCTTGTTTATTTCATAGATGTCTCTTACATTCACATTTAATTTCAAAAAAATTATTTTAGTTGTAAAAAATACCGCTAGAGTGCAAAAGTATTGATTTTTCTTTTTTTTTAAGAAACAAGTTAAGATAATAATTTTATTATAAATCGATAAAAAAATATTATTTTATTTTTCATTTTAAATATTCTTCTCGTGTTGTTTTTTTCCCTTAAACTAATAATTTATATTGGGGGAAAACAAACAAATTTACTACAATCGAATAAATTACAAAATGTTGTAATATTAAATTAAAAAAAAAAAAAAAAACAAAATAACTAAAATTAATATGACGTCACAAACCCTTAGTTAAAAAAAAAAAACATGTAAAAATTTCCCAGAAAAAAAAAAAAGGAAAAATTTAATATTATTTATGAATATAAAGTTACTAAATATAAATCTAACGGCAAATTAAAGATAAATTTATTGATAATAGTTCGTTGAGGTCATTTTAAATTATTTTTCATTGATGTTGTAAAAAAAAAAAAAAACACAAAAATGTTATCAAGTTCGAAAAAAAAACATAATTGATAAAAAAATTAGGAAAAACGATAATTTCTATTTGCAGTCTTTCATTTTAAAATTTTTCCAAAATAAAAAGAAAAGGAAAGGAAACAATAAAAGATTGTTAAAAAAAAAAATTTTCCTAAACAAAACGTGAAAGGGCAAATAAAAATGAAAAAAAGAATTTTGTAAAGTTTTTAATGTCGACGTAGAAGATAACATCACGTTGTTCGTGTTTTTTTCTCCCAATTTTTTATTATAAAAAAAAGAAAAGAAAAAAAGCGCCTGAACAAAAAAGAAAAACTAAAAATTAAAAATTTGTTCAGTCTAATTTTCTACATTGGAGCCATATTGGCAATTTTTAAATTATGCAAAACTAATGACCCTTGAAATTATCGATATTTTCTGTTTAATCAAAGTCAATTTGACTAAATCATTTTTAGTCATAATCGAAATTAAAAAAAAATTTAAAGAAACGTTGTTCATACGTTCAAAATTTTTCTCCAGTAACGAATTATCCAGTAAAAGGTGTAATAATAATAATAAAACAAAAAAATTTAATTTTTTTTTTCTCTTCTCTTATCATTCGTGTGTGACCGAATAATTTTAAAATTTTTTGATTCGCTCAAATTCGACTTGGCTTCCATGAAATTTTTTTCCCAAAAATTTAATTCCCCTCGAAATAAAAAAAAAAAAAAACCGTTTTTATTTAAATTTTTTTTTTTTTAAAAACTTAACCGGTCATTAAATTCTGGAGAAAAAGAAGGAGGAGCTGGAAAAAAAAAATTTTTTTTTTAGTTTTAGAGAAAACTAAAACGTTTAATGCCGGAATAATTACCAAAACTAAAAAAAAAAAAAAAATCGTTACGATTTCACACCGATACGAATAATATATATATGAATGTGGTAGCAAAATTTCTAGAACTTTCAAGAGGTCATTTAATTTAAAAATTGATACTATTTATAATTCTTGTTTTTTTTTTATTTCCAGATTAAAAAGAATTCGTGAAAATTTTCCACCAATAATATTTTCCAATGCTGCATTATTGGTAAGTCTAAAGTAATTACAATTAATTTTTTCTTATTTATTAACTTATTAAAAAAAAAATAATTTTTAACACAAACACACACATCAAACTTAACAATAGTAAAAAACTAGAAGAAGAGAGACAGAGAGAGAGAGAGAGAGATATTAAAAAAAAAAAAGATCTAACAATTTTACAAACGATAAGCTTCCACATTGGAACGAATCTCAACGCGTGATTTAAAACGGGGTAAAAAAAAAAAAAATCCCCGAAAAAAAAAAAAATTTTTTTTTTTTAAATTCGTTTTCCCCCTACTCCACTCTTCCTCCTCCCCTTTTCCTCCCCCCTCGCCACGTTTTTCATTCGTGGAAAAAAAAAAAAAAATCCTTCGGGCACAAAAAAAAAAAAAAAAGATTTTCCTCATTTAATGATACCCATTCGTCAAGATTACTTCAATTGTTTTGAAATTATCAATTGCTGTCACGTGCCAGCAGGCTAAAGCCTTTTTTTTTTATTTTTTTACAGTCAGATATCAATTTGAATTTAAAACGCGCATCTTTTCATTTAAAACGATTCGATTCGGAGAGGAAACGGAAAAAGGAAAATAATAAAACATGGATCCCCCTTTCCTAAATTTTTTTTTTTTTTTTTTTTAAATTTTACTTATTTTTCAACAATTTTTTTTTTCCTAACACATCTCTCTCTCTCTCTCCCCCTTTCTCTTTCTCTCTCTCTTGTAATTATGTTCGGACGTAAATAAAATATTTCCATTGTAAAAATTTTCTTTTTTTCCACCATTCTACACAATTTTCCCAATCCAATGACACGTGATTAATTTAAATTATTTTTCTTTTATTTTTAAATAACTTTTTCACCGAAATAATGATAATAATAATTCGGAAGCACATTCGCGAATGATAAAATTATATTTTCTTAACGATCAATCAATCAATCACGGAAAAATTTAAATTTTAAAACTCTATTGAAAATATTTACTTATCGGAAATAATAAAAATAACCTACGTTTTCTTACCTATTATTATTATTATCGTTATTTAAATGAGTTTTGAGTTAATTGTAAATCACATTTAAAAAAAAAAAAAACAATATGGCGACGGAAACGATTTTAAAAATTTCGATTTGTTTAAACATAAATCAATCATTATCACCGCCGTTATCGTATTTATTTCGAGGCCTTTTTAATTTTTTTTTTTTTTTTTTACAATAATGCGTACGCGATTAAATGGAATTATATTAAGAAAATAATAATGATAATAATAATAATAATAATAATTTATTACCGAAAAGATTTATAGATCGACGAAACTTTTGAGTCAATTAAAATTTATTGTTTTTATCATTTAAAATATTACTCGGACATGTTGATAATAATATTCGTTCCCATTGCAACAAGTATTTATATACGAATGAGAGAGAGAGAGAGAAAATTTGTTTTTATACATGGTAGAGGGGATAAAAACCGTTAAAAATTCTTGTTTTCCTTTCTCTCTCTAACTGCTCTAGATTATAACAATTTCATAAGTAAAAGTGTCAGCCGTGATCGTCTAGTGGTTAGGACATTGCGTTGTGGCCGCAATAACCCAGGTTCGAATCCTGGTCACGGCATTTTTTTTTCCCGTCCCCTCCCCCTTAATTTAAATTTTTAAAAAAGGAAAAAATTTATCGGTTAGGGGTGGGGTGGAAGGGGTTGATGGTAATCATACGATTTCATTTAATTAAACTATTTAATGTATACACATAAACATTTTTTAAATATTTTTTCTTTTCTTTTCTTTTCTTACCCGGGGGAGTAGTCAAAAATAGTTTCCGGTTTTGTTTGCTC